AAATTTTGATCACAATAGTACTATACTAGCCTATACTATACATTGATACTTGATTATACAATTTAAATTAAAAATAAATTACTAAGGTATATTTTGCGTTGTARGTATGTCGTTTTCTTCCAAATCAGTTCAAAATAGTTTTTATTAAAATTTGCTATTGAAGATAGAAAATGGATAAATTTATATTTAAGTGCAACAAAAATGAAGATCTAAAAAATACTCCAAACATTGCGTTACCAAATAATGAAGTTCTTAACAAACAGATTTTCGGTGATRCAGATGACYCTATAAATGAGATACCCGTTTCAAGATTAGAAAAAAAAGATAGAATTGACAAAGGTCCCTATCAACCAAAATTTGATTTTCCTAGAACAATGATTGGCTCAAAATATAGGAGTTTCCAAATCGAATGGTACAATAAGTATTCGTGGTTAGAATATAGTAAAGTTCTTGATTCTGCATTTTGTTTTTACTGTCGTGTATTTTGTTTAAACGATCCAGCAACAAAAGGTCATATTGATTTTGCTTTTATAAAAAAGGGATTTAAGAATTGGCATAGAGCAAACGAATGTTTCCGTAACCATGAAAAATCTAAAGGCCATCAACATAGCGTTTCTTCTTGGAGCAGTTATATAAAAGGCAAATCGGTTGATATTTTGTTAGATGAGCAAAAGGAGGTGTTTATTTCAAAGCAAAATCAAGTTAAAATAAAAAATCGTCAGATAATGGAAAGGCTAATTGATATTGTTATTTGTTTAGCAAAAKGAGGTAGACCATTTAGAGGCCATGACGAGAGTAAAATCAGCATTACACGAGGACTGTTTTTAGATTTAGTAGATTTAGTRTCGAAATATGACCCTACTTTAAAAGATCATCTAACAAATGGACCTCAAAATGCATTATACACTAGTGGAAAAATCCAAAACGACATTATTATCAGCATAWGCAACATAATATTACGAAAAATATCACATTCCGTTCAGAACAAACTTGTTTCAATAATGGCTGACGAAACTAGTGATTGTGGACACCACGAACAAATGGCAATTGTTTTGAGATTTTTTGATGATAAGCTTAATTCTCCAGTAGAACATTTAGTAGCTATTCGCAGGCTTACATCTGTAGATGCCCAAGCTATTTTCAATGAGTTAAAAGTTGTTCTCTCCGTATTGAAAGTAGATTGGAAGAATGTGTTATCAGTTTGCTTTGATGGCGCGGCAGCCATGTCAGGAAGTGTATCAGGAGTTCAGATGAGATGTAAAGAATTAAACAGCAATATTGTATATATTGTGCATTGTTACGCACATTGTTTGAATCTAGTTTTAGTCGATGCTTGTTCACTAGACAAAGGAAATAGATTAATTTTCGATTTTTTTGGGATTGTACAATTTATTTACACATTTATTGAAGGGAGTTGTTCACGACATGCAACTTTTGAAAAAATATCTAATGAAATCGGTTCAACATTGAGGACATTAAAGTCTCTTTCCACGACTA